TTTTCTGTATGTGGAGTTAGGTGTCTAACACTAAGCACCTAAGTCTGAAAATTTCAGAGTTTTCAGGAGTGCCTGAATCCCATTGACAATCGATGGGTGCATCTACATGGGACACATTATTGCGCATTAGCCTAATTTAGTGTGCATTATGGTCACATGTCTACATGTGCACACCCTTAATATGCATTAAAAAGGGCAAAATTAGGCTAATCGTGCCTAAATTTGATGCCTGCAAATGCAGGTAGTTAGTGGAACCTGTCTTTGACTTCTCAGTAGCAAATGCAGGTATTAAATTTAGGCTTGATTAGTTAAAGTACATTAACACATGTGTAGACATGACCTGGCACTAACTTTAGTGCTGGGTCTACCTAGCCACCAGGGGAACATGGCAGGGCTGCAGAGACTTGACACTAACTTTAGTGCCAGGTGCACTAACTTTAGTGCCAAGTCCCTGCATGTGTGGACACCTGCCAAAAACTGCTTAAGATGCATAAACGCTTAAAAGCCCTTGTAGATATGTCCAATGTGAATTAGTTTCCTGTGCGACCCAGATGGTTCTGAAAATAGCATTAAGATTTGGAAGTCATCTAGGTGCCTATGAAACTGTTAGCCTTTAACTCTTGATTCTTTTTCTTGCTCTTTACTTTATGTAAATTCACAGGAGTCATCATCTTTTATGTGGCTCAGTTTACTATCTGTAATCTAATAGGCTTTATCAGTGTTTATAGGGTGTTTTAGAACCTCTGATGAATGACACATTAAATGCAAAGTATTATTATTTTTTATTATTACAACTTTGTGATAAAGAACACGTTTTTTCAAATTCAGAAGCACTCATAAGCAAGGAACATTTAATTGATTACTGCTCCTGGTACCTTTGATTAGAGAGAGTTGGTCTTTAAGATGCTACCTTGCCCTGTAACTCATGACAGCAATGACTAACTTCAGTTCATGTTAGAATATTGATTTGCAGAATAATTAATATCTGGCCTATCTGGTTTCCACTAGCAAATATACTCATATTTATTCACACCCTCCCCATAGTTTTTTGTTATACTATTCCCATGTGTTATAGGAGAATGTATTAAGCCCTGAGCAGGGAGCCAACATAAGGACTATATAGTCACTTAAATTAGGATCCTATTAACTTAGCAGTCAGTGAAAGAACAAGATTTTGAGTACCACCAAGCACTGTCCTAGTCACCAAACATGATCACTGCTATGAAAAATAAAGTTGATCAAGGAATGGCAACAACTTTTTGGAAAACTGAAATTTCCAGAATTCACATTTTCAAATGTTTCAAAATTGCAAGTTGTTTCAAGGAAACCAGACTGTTAAGTGGCACAGATCCACTTGTCCAACCTTCCCCTCACACCTCTGCAGTTCTCCTGAGAAAGTGTGAACACTCCCTTAAAATGGACTGCAGTGGAAGTGACATTGCCTTTTAAGTGTTGGCACTGATATACCATGCTGGAAAGAAAGAATGACAAAATATCCAGAAAAAAAGAAATGTAATAGACTCTGCTCTGTCAGTCTGTTGAGCATTTTGAATAGGTACTTGGCATCTTTCATCACTTCAGTCTGCTGAGAAGAAATGTAGTTTTTGAAAGTTTGAATATAGCTTTGAAGCAAACCTGCCTGTAAATCTTTGACAAATCTCTCATTACAGAAACATACAAGCATGGCTACTGATCTTAGCAAGTCTTAATGACAAGGAGAACAATTTATTATCCATACTCTATACATAGCATTTACAGAATAAGGTGCATGTCTACAGTAAAAGAGTTCTACAGAATTCTGAACAGCTGTTCACATCAATCTGCCTAGCAGTTCTGAACAGGCCTGAAGAGTTTGTGTTTCATATTGTTCAGCATGGAGCTAGTTAGTGGCACCTGTCTTTGACTTCTCAGTAGTACTGACCCTTTATGGTCCCAGTTTATGCATGGGATTGGTTCAGCAGGCCTCTTTAAAAGCACCTGCACTAAACACCACATAATCAACAACACTGTGTAGTGGCACACAGTAGAAAAAATGAATAAAGGGATAGTTTCATAAAGTTCTTTAGGGCTAAGTATAGATCTTCAAAAAGCCCCTGGTGGAAGCTCTGTAACTACTTAAAGTGCTACAAGTTAGAGTGGGGGCTGTGCAGGCCACCCCCAGATTTCTGAGTCAGGGGGAGGGTTGGGTGGGATCTGCCCAGCCAGGGAGACTTCATCTACTCACCCCCAGTTCCCAGAGTGGCCAAAAGCCGGGTCGAGGAATCTGCTGCAGCAGTGTGTTGGCTGCAGTTGTCAGGAGGCTCAGGTAGGGGGGAGACTAAAGCACTTCAGGGTGCCTGTACACGTGTGTGTGTGTGTGTGGGGGGGGGCTGCTTCAACACACTGTAATTACAGTGCATCAAAGCAGACTTGATTTATTGAGTCTCCTGAAGTGTTAATTAGCAAGCCTCCAGCAACCTCCATGTCTCATGTATCAACAGCCCCCCTCTTCAGAATGGTGGTGGGGGCACTATTTGAAGCATGGGAACACTGATACATGAGCTGCTTAAATCAGAGCTGCTCTTGGAGTCACTGTAGTTAAAGTGCCCCCCACCCCGAACATGTGTAAAACTGTCCTTAGTCTGTTGCCACATTCATCAAGGGTTAATTTAGAGCATAATCCACCATTTTTAAAGTGCTTTAAGTGCTGTGAATGCCTTTACTGTTATGGCTTTAAAGTGCTTTCTGCATGCTTAACACACATTAAGTATAACATCTGTACCTAGCCTAGGTCAGATAAAAAGGCACATAGTATGACCTCTACATTTAGGTCAATGCATGCCCATGCACAAGTACTGTATTGAGCATAGACACCACAAAAGTGATTGATTCACCTGTGCTCAAATCAATGAAATTATTGTGCCTTGGGAAAAATTCACATCCTTAAGATAGGCAGAAAGAGGAACTTGCACTGCAGCTCCCTATAACCTGGGGCACTGACAAAGGAGGACTGCTATACTTGTAGGCAATACTATTGTACAAGAGCCCTGATGATAGATAGTTCATGGGAGAGGGAGTGAAGCAACATACATGTCACTCAAAGTAGATCATCGTAAATCTCCAGGTGGAAAAAGTATTGCTGGTACCTTTAACCAGATGCTCCATTGCCTATATTCTGGGACATGACAGCAGAAACTGGCATAACCCCAGGTCTGAATATGACCTGTGGTTTCTCCCCTTTTTGATCAACCAGGTGTTTTAATATACTCAATGCTATCTGAAACAACACAAACTATCTTGGTTTTGTGTGGGGGGAAAATGGGCCTCTTTACAGCATACATTTTTATACTGCAATAAAATTGGCACCTGGTATAGCAAAAAGGATATCAGCATGCACTTTACATGACTTTACAGACTTCATGTGAATAATGCAAGAAGTATTAAATAAAAGAAGCAGTGAAATTACCACTGCTGATAATTTTTCGAGCACAGAATAATTTCTTGAGAAAACAAGAGGCACTATTCATTATGCTCTATCACATAAGCTCGGGTTTCATTTTTTTCTTCTTCTGGCATTAGTTTTGAAAAATGCAAGGATCCCAGCTGCTTAATAATGACGTTGTTGTATTCATGCAAATCCCTCAGAACTTATGTCAACATTTAATTTTACAATAAATATAAAAATAAGACTAGTGCATCTGTAGTCCCCTGGGTGGTAACAGATGAGTCATCCAAAACATCTCCCCTTACAAACACCCACGCTATTCTAAAGGTAATAATAGTCAAAGAAAAATGTTAACATTCGTGTGGTGTATTGAAAGAAGTTTATAGATATTGACAGTAGTGCTCATGAAACAGATTATATCAAAACACCAAATATATTACCTTTACCCCAGTGGTAAGCTTTTGTAAATTGAAGTCAAATATGTAATCGGTGAACTCTGCTAGGATGATAAAAGCAAGAGGGGGGGACTTCAAGCACTATGGATTTAGAGATGGAAATGTTCCATCCAAGCATTTCTCCTTAATGAGTTTTAGAATAAAAATTATTTATACACTGTATGAGTCTGCACCGTGGATTTATATTTTGCTGCATTCCTTATGCAAACCAAACTCCCATGGATGTCAATAGGAGTTTCTCTTGTACAAGGCTGCAAGAGAAAGCATCTTGAGTATTTAATTCAAATCAAAGGAAAGAATGTCCACATCTTTATGTGAAAAAAGTCCTGTAGTATTTAATGAAGATGACAACAGACTTCTACCAACATTAGAAATAGGAGTCTATAGAAAAAAACCTATAAAATTTAATACAGAATTATATCATGGCTATGGAATTTTCAAAACATTTTATATAATTTAACACAGAAATTTCACAGAAAACTTATCCCCTATTCTGTTCTGCATAAGAGTAAACCCACTTGAAGTAGGCTGTATATATTTAGAAAAATGTGTGTTTCTTCAAATACCAGCAGAGCATATTGCTAGTTTTTATAATTTGAGATAGTTACAAAATTGCTCCTAATTTTGAACTTGAAAAAGCTAGCAACATTAGCAGCTGTTTTTACTGCCCTGTGCACAAGAATAAAAATGACAGAAAAAGGTCACTAATTGGCTTGGTCACGTTTACTTGCATTTTTACTTGTTGTAATGGACACTAGGATGGAAAGTGAGACACATTATAGGCAGAGGGTAGTACATCAGACTGCCTGCTGTGCCTGAACCATCACATTAGGGGAAATGCACATTTTAAAACACAGGATTTGCTGATGTACAGGGACCAAAACAGCAGTGACTCTAGGTGAAATCCTAGCTTGAAAGTGAATAGGAGCATTGTCTTTGATTTCAACAGGGCCAGGATTGCACCCCATACGTGATTCACCATAGTAGACTTTCAGAAACAGACACTGAGTGGTGGAAAAAAAGTTGTAGAGTGCAGCAGTATATAACGTGGATTCAATGGATCCCACATTTGCCAAAATGAGAAGGTTGTTGCTGACCATTTTCATTGCTCCATCCCACAGGATGTAGTAATGTCTGCCCCTTGGCTGCCCGAGTAAGGATTCTGTCCCTCAAGTTCCTATGTAGGTCATACAAGTAGAGCCTTCTTTCACCTCGCATGTACCTAGGTGATCAGCACTTGGGAAACAGAAACACCTTTCTGCTTCTATAAAACAAGCACCATTTGACAAGAGCAAACAATGGAGCTCATTCAGATTTCTCATCCCATCAGGGATTATCATAATGACTCTAACCCGCCTACAACTTTTCTTCTTTCGTAGTGCTTCCTTACATACACACTTCACTCTGCTAATTCAGCCCTTTTTCATGCTCTGTCTCCTTATGATTTCATGCCTTCTTTCACATTCCCTCCCCCACCTGGAGAATCATTTCCACATTTCTGCAATGTACCCCGTAACCTCATTCCCTTCCTTCGGGTTCTTTCTCATCCCTTTCTTTAGCCTAGCTCTCTACTTCTAATCACTGCTTGAGACCTGTCCATTGCCACTCCTTTCCGTGACCATGCCGGGATTTACTAAACAAAGCAAGCGAACAGAAATCAAACTCAAAAAGCTTTTCCAGAGAACATTTCTTGTTCCCTTCTTTTGTTGTCATACCGCTAAGGCTGGCTTTCTTCACACAAAAATAGATGTGTTGATAGTGTCTCTGATCATGGTGTGTTCTGTACTATCAGATTGTAAGTTGTCTCAGACAGCATCTTGTCTTTCTTGGTGACTGTAAAATACTAAAATACCACCTATGTATGATTTAAATAAAGTAAGACAATGGCAAAAAGACAGTTGTATTAGCTGTGTATCCACGTATCCCTTTGACTTGGAAATGCTGTGAGAGTTTTTGAATGAGACTGTGCACGGAAGAGTATGTTTATCTTTGCAACTCGGCGTAGTCTGTGTCCCAGAGGAACTGCTTGGTATTAATGAAAAGCTGAATAGTTCCTCTACCACACTAGGGATACCCTATCAACTATATTGCACACACCCTTATTTCGTAAGCCATCCTTACTGTCTTGCCTTCCCCTTTTTCTCTAATTTCTTATGTTCCATTTTACTTGCAGCCCTGAGCTCCAGCTGCACAGACTGAATTTTCTTTTCCATGATGAGAAATCCTCACCAATGACTATTTGTTTTGTCTACATGATATGGCAGAGTTGTAAAAATGTATCAAGTAGACTACAGACACACTAGCTTTTTTGTGGGGCATTTAGAAATTTTAAAATAAACACCTTTACTTTTTGTACCATTGGAATACTGACTCCAGGAGTCCTGTATTTGATAACATGCTCATACAATGCACATGTCTGGAATGAAATGCCTGATCTTGCTAGATACCTTCAAGATATTATCAAAATACAGGTGGGTAATCTGGTAACCCAACCTACTTGGAAAAAGTATGCAGTGGGAACTTGATACCTGAAAAACCCTAATTGAAGTGAATGTGTGCAAGAGACTTGGTAACCTTTAACTCGGATCCTAAATCAAGCCATTTATACAACTATTTTTGTTGCTTTTAGATGTCTCACATTATAAAATTAAAACAGGTAAATCTACCAAGAAAATCAAAGCAGTAAGCAGACTTCTTAGAATATAAAGGATTATAGATGGTTTTGAGACATTCAGGATCCCACCCCCCTGTTTTATGTTACAGCTCATTTTTGGATTTTACTGAACACTGTGAAGTTATTTCCCCAATTACAATGTTTGCCGAAAGAAATAGGCTGATCCACTATGCTAGAGATGTACACTATTCTATTTTACACTGGTGTGAATGAACCAGACCATGATGCAAAGATGCAGTGAACTCAACCTTAACTATCCTGTTCTGGTATACACAGCGTGTGGTGTCCACACACAACAATCCCTGCAAGCATTGCAAAGCCTGGGGATTGTCGCACCTGTCTCAATTCCCAGCAAAGCTCCCTGGAGCAGGTGCATAATGTCTATGGTTTATAATGTCTGTTTGCACCTGTGCCTCTTAACTAATGACCCTTTTCTGTTTTCTCTTGTTTTGATCTCAGGAGTGAGAGAGATGCTGCTGATGCAGCAGACAGGCAGCTGTGGGAACCCCCAGTAAAGTACATTAGGGGCATGTGCCTGTGTGTGTGCCTGCTAACTAACCACTGATTTTGTCCTTTATCTTTTGCAGGTGACTTCCCTCAGGATTAAAAAAGTTCACATATTTTAGAAATTCTTATAAAGCTTGGTAAAGTTCATGTTACCACTATGTGCTTCTGTGCTGCTCTGTGGGTTGGGATACTGAGGAGGCAAAAAGAGCCCCTTGGGTCTCTTCTAAGAGGAGCGAGTGTGGGAAGCATAGATTTAGGACCAACCAAGTATTTCCACATTTACTCTTGAGCCGGCACACACCTGGTACCGAGTACCTTGATAGGTGACAGAGCCAGAATTCTCAGTTGTGAAGGCTGTTAATTGAAGTGTAGTCAGGAGCACAGTGGCATAGCACTGGGAGGCAACAAGGATGCTGAATCATACTCACCATTAATGAAAAACTGAGCATTGCAAACTCAATGTAGCAAGGCCATTTGGAAGTATTTCCCCCTTCTCATGCCTATGTTTCAACGGTAGGCTTGTTGATATTGGGGCCAGGAACTGGCCAGAAGAGCACGTGAGGTGGGCTGCCAGCAAAACTCATTTAATATAATAATTGCAAATAATGTCTTGCAAATATAGTGTTTCTTTTACTCAAAACCTTCTTGCTAGCAGTTCCTGGGTGGTGTGCATGCATGTGTGTGTGTGTGTGTGTACTTGTAGTTCACAGCTACTCTCTGAATAGTATAGATGAGCAATGCTATAGTTTGCTCAAAAACCATTTGGTTTGCTTATTTGCTATCCATGCTGTAAGTGGCCACAGTTTTCTTCCTGCTCCTTGAGAGGAGGGCTGCAGCACTTCAAACAAAAGAATAATGAACAACAAATGATGAATGGTGAATAACAAATACTTTTGCTCATTCATAAGTGCCCTTGTTTGCTTATGATTGCATGCAATTTTGTATAAAAAGCAGCCACCTCCTAAATATGTATGTGTAGAAAAGCCCCTTCACATGAATATTCTTGAATAGCAAATAATGCTGAATGAGTCAAATACAGGCCCCAAATTTGAATGAATGTTTGTGAGCAGTATTCTCTCAGCACTATTCTCTCAGTATTCTCTCATACACATAAGGAACTATGGGCAGAATAACTCCTATTTAGAGCTAAATGGATTCGTGTCCCAGCCATTTGCCAATCATTTAAAATCTGCATGTAAAATTTAACCATAATTCCACTGAACCATATAAGGTAACTTATATTTCATAATTTAAACATCCTCTAGATAAATACATGTCAGTACAAGCAGCTTTTGTATCTTGTATCCTTTCCTTGGCTTAAAAGCGTTCATCCAATATCAACTAGGTAGTGAACTTTGAAGCAGAGTCCACTGTAATAATAGTAAAGTTTAATGATGCATGGCTTTGAGAGACTGACAAATTCCCAGCCAAAGTATTGATTTCTAGAGAATTTATGAAGCACAGGCTGTATTCTGTGTCATTATGGTCCATTTTTGGCTGGAAGAATCATGTAAAATAGATTTTTAAATGAGTGGTAATAGCCAGACATAAAGAAGGTATTGATGTGTGTCATGAAGGGTGAAATAGCATGCCAGGTAAAGGCATATAACAAATTGAAAACAACAGTGCTGCAACTCCTACAAATGTAAATTTGTTTTTAGTTTTAATCAAACCTTTGTATCAATAGGTACAAATTTTGCTACACAAGTGCAGAATATATTAAAAAAAACCACGGGATTTTTTTTAAATGCAATTATTTACAGTTCGATTTCATGCTTCACTTTAGAATACATGTCTATAAAATGCATATCTCACTTACAGACATGTTAATCAATATGAATTGTGTACTACATTACAACAAAACTACATCTGAGATTATTAGAAAAAAATCAAATGCACGTAGTTCTGCTTACTTGAGCAATATGTGAAAATTAATAGCTCGAACCTCGACAGAACTCTTGGTTAGAAGGCAGGACAATCTACCTTTTTAAAGTGAGAGCTCTAATAAGACTTTCTGAGATGTGCACTGACAAGGTAAAACCAAATTATGGCACAAACAAAACTTCCAAGTGGGTTAAAAATATGATGGTGTAGCGAAACTAACACAAAGATGGAGAAAAAGAGAAGAGTAATTGATTAGGTTGCTAAGGTTTTATAGAAAAGTAACACTGCATCTTAATTGCATTCCAGCAGCCTCTTTTTGAACTAGAAAAAGAGGTCACCTAGGTCTAACAGTGTAAGGGACCTACATAGTCCAGACATAAATATATCTCCCACACACCCAGAAGCGCCATGAGAATCAGCTAAATCCTCCTCAGAGCAGCTGCTTTTCAACAATTCAAGAGTTTATCAGCCTAATAAAAAAACTGCCCTGGCAGGAAAAAAGGCTGACAATCTCAATAGGCTCTTCTGTGGCCTAGTGGGACTGAAGAACTCTTCAAGGTCTTAGTCAACTCTGAACAGAGGGCTCTGAACTGGCACACTCATCTACACCACAAGCAAGTTGTGCGACCCAGCAAGAGGCCATTCTTTATATAAACGTTTTTCCCAGGAAAAATGCAGGCAAATTCAAAGAAAATGGGTTGAATCCAGGGTGCAAGGTTAGCACAAAAGTACTTTAGGACTCAGAGAATCAGGAAAAATTGTTTCCACCTGTAGTACAATCTTAAAGCAGTAAAGACCACAGCACTGTTCAAGTTAGAGTCCACCCACAGTTTTGTTTTTTTATGTTTTTGCTGGAGTTTATAAAAGCAGCCATCACTTCTCAAATGTAATGTATACAAGGATTAAATCCCCTGCTCATGTTTTTATAATAATTCTAAAGGCTCAGCTTGGCACAGTATAAATAAGTCAGTGACATCACTGCCTTCCTTCTTTCTCTATTTGTTATTTATTTTTAAATTAAGTTTTCACAGGCTATTTCACCCTAATTCAAATCTTCCTGTCTATTACCAAGTTAAGACAGACCTTTAAAGTTATTGTAACATAGCTTTCATGTGTTAATATGTGCATACATATAGTATACCTAAGTGTACATAATTACTCTATCTGACTGAAACAAATCAGCTTTACTAAAAGAGAACTGTCCCTTTTATCAACAACATTAACAGCTGAAAAGGGGAAAATATGTCAATTTAATGGCATATTAGATTTAGTAAATCAGCTATTCCTACAATTATTAGTTCACTTGATGACAAGTGTTCAAGAACCACCTTTGATCACTGACAAGGCCCCACAAAAATCGTATAAACTATGATAAATACCTATAATTAACAGCATGAAGTTATTTCTGACCTACAGCAAAGGAATGACTTCACATACTTCAAAATTTTCAGGTTGTTTACTTACTGATCTATGTGGTTCATTTGTGCTCTTAGATTTTACACTGTGAGACTGCTCTAATCTGCTTGCATGCTGCTGCATGTACGAGAGGAGCATCTATAATGCATGGCTAATTTGTGTGTAATTGCAGCAATTTGCATGTGCAGATCAATGAACTGTGTAAGCAAATGGCAAGTATGCATCTAACAGCTGCTCTTTGGGCACTTTGGGCTGTACTCACAATGAAACCCATTGCATGTACAAACCAGAGACATAACTGTAAACAGGCAGAAGGGTTTGGAGTCCCTGACTGAGTGGGGCAACAGTGTGGTGCAGTTAGAGGTAACCAAGCTAGTTCATGTGTTATGAAAAACAAGGAGCACTTTGATACATGCTCCAGGAGTGGGCTTGGCTCCAAGAGCCGCTCTCATTAAAACACCACAGTGTCTTGTGTATCAGCGTCCCCATGCTTCAGAATGGTGGAGGGGCCACTTGAACTAAAACTCATTTGACAAGCTTTAGTTAAAGTGCCCCCACTGCCATTTTGAAGAATGGGGATGCTGATACACGAGACACGGAAGCTGGCTGGAGTGCGATAATGAATCGAGTCTGCTTCAATGCACTGTAATTACAGCGCATCAAAGCAGCCTCACCACATGTCTATAGGCAGCCAAGAGCCATGTTCCAGATTCCTTGAATACTCAGAAAACCTGCTGACTTCAATGGGAGTGTACTCAGAGTGGTAACTTCACTAGCAGATCTGAAGATTTTAGAAACCAGTCTGGTAAAATTCTGCTTTTTTCTTCTTTTGATCTTGTTGTCAGCTTATATTAGCTTATATAACTCAAAATGTCATCTTCCTATGAAATAGCTGATCACTGCCTATATTTGCCATACCATAGACTTCCCAACCTCACACATTCTTTTAACCTGGCCTTCACCCAAAACTGCTTTCACAAAGACCAAATTCTTTTTCTGATTATCATATTACCTCCTCCTCCATTAATCATTCTAGATTCTGTCATTTCCCAAGACTTCTTGTCCATTAATTTTATGATTTCCTTGATACACTTTACCCAGTGGTACCATTTTGGACTCAAGGCACCCCTCCATAACTTCTATGAATTGAGTAGCACCTAATTTCAAAATCTAATTTATATATTAATAGTACTTACCTCCTTGCAGAGGGATCAGGAGACTGGCCCAGCAGGGACAAGCTTGAGCCTGCCCTTATCTCCTCACATCTCACTTTTCTCCTTATACCTTGTGGCACCCTTCAAAGGATCTGGGGGCACCATAGCACCCTGGTTGAGATTTAATGCTCTACCAACTTCTTCCATCAGAAACCATACGTGCTCAATCTTCAATAAATCCAACTAGATCTTAAATACATGACACTTTTGTCCTCCAAATTGGCATGAAGCTTTCAGAGTGAAATTCAAAATGGAAGGGAAAACAAAGCCAGGCAATTCTACAAAGCTCTACAAGAAGTACATTCTTGCAGATCCTAACATTTTCTGTAATGTGAATAATTCTTCAGATACCCTGAACTATGGCTTACATCTAAATTCAGTAAATCTGGAACAATTTAATGTTCTTCAGTGGAGTTAGTCTGGATTCACACCTGTGTTTCTGGAGAAGGATTTGGCCAAATATTATTTTAAATCACATTTATTTAATTCCCCCCTAATATGCAGAAATTTGGTGTTCAGGGTATGAATGTGAAGAAGAGAATGGTGCTATCCCAAAAGATGTTAATGGGTTTCATTAGTTCAGTATCAGATCCAAGTAAAATTACACAACTATGAAAACCAATAGGTGTGTCAAGACAAAGGAGCAATCAAGTCCTTAAATGTAGTACAACTGAGGCAGGTCAGAGTAAAGCTATACGGATTGAGGAGTTTCCCAGGTTACAAATGTGGGGCTAGAATATTGATTACAAGGTGTGCGGGATTGAAGTAGAAAAAAAATCACAAGTGCAAGCATGACAAGAAGAGAAAGAAGAGAAATAAAGATTCCTGGGCAAAAGTGATCCATTGGAAGGACTCACTTTCTAAGCAACAAAAATGTCTGCTGTTTATTGTTTAGACCATGTACAGAGTATCAGGATTTTTTGTACATTTTTTTTCTAAATAAATGTTTATATTAAGAATATACCTGACTCTCACAATCAATTTCTCATTCTAATGGAAACAACCTTGAAAGTTCTTGGCTAATTACCCAGGTCCGAGGGACCATGGTAGTTTTTTTAACGAATTAAACTAGTGGGAAAAGTTGTCTACAGTTAATGCAACAGCAAGCTTTACTAGGAGTACGTCAAAATTATTTGTATTCTTT